TGGGGCCTTCGGTTGAGTTCCCTGTGGGGCCATGAAACGTGTGAGGGGTGTGCCAAAATGGGTGCGGAGGGCGCATGCGAACGCAGCCACTGTAGCCGTCGGTGAAGCTCCCTATGGGGCCGCGAACCGTGTGAGGGGTGTGCCTGAGCTCCCTATGGACCCACGAAACGTGTGAGAGGTGGGCCAAACTGGGTGCGGTGGGCACATGCGAACGCTGGCATGTGAACCTTCGGTGGAGCTCCCTATGGGGCCACGAAAACGTTTGAGGAGTGTACCGAAACAGGTACATGCGGAGGGCAAAAGCAAGGAAGGGAAGGAGGGAGGAGGAGAGGGAGGAGGAAGGAGAGAAGAGGAGCCGAGGGGCGCTGTCTCTTCAAGACGAGGACCCAACACCACAGGATGGTTGGGAAAAAAAGGCGGGGGGGGGGCGGTGACTCGCTGCAGGCGTCTTCGATGCCTACCTGCAAAGGCTCACCGGGGGTCATGGCCTCGAGGCCGGTGGACCGCGGAGGCTTCGAGGACGCCGCCGCCGCAGTGGCCCTGCACTCGTCCTCTGAGCCGAAAGTGTCTGAGCCAGAATGGCTACGGATCGTGTCGTGACGACGCAGGTCGGGCTTCGACTGGCCTGGGTCCAATGCAAACCCGGGGCAGCCAGGCTTTGCAGGACCCTACGAGATCCTCCGCGCTCCTGCAGGGTCCTGCGCGCACGCCTGGGTCAGTGCAGCCCTGGCTTTGCAGGATCCTGCAAGATCCGGCGCTCTGGCTGACTCCCGCTTGCATCCGGGGCGCCTCACTTCGCGCTCTCGCGCTGCGCGGAGCGCGAAGCGCGAATAGCTTTGCGCTCTCGCGCCGCCCCCCAGGAGCGAGCGAGCGGTCGGCCTCTCGCTCGGACCCTCTCGCTCGCCCGCGCGCTCGAGCGAGCCAGCCCAAACGGAGATGCGTTCCCTAAGCTGCTCGGGAGCGCCCAAGCATGGATTCGAGGAGGAGGAGGAGGAGGAGGAGGAGGAGGAGAAAGAAAAGAAGGAGTCGGGGGGAGGAGGAGGAGGAGGAGGAGGAGGAGGAGGAGAGGCGGAGGAGGAGGAGGAGGAGGAGGAGGAGGAGGAGGAGGAGGAGGAGGAGGAGGAGAGAGGATCAGGAGGACGGGGAGCTGAAGGAGGAGAAGAGGAGAAAAGGAGGAGGAGGAGGAGGAGGAGGAGGAGAGGAGGAGGAGGAGGAGGAAGGAGGACAAGGAGGAGAGGAGGAGGAGGAGGAGGAGGAGAGGATCAGGAGAGGGGGAGATGGAGGGGGGGAGGGGGAGGGAGGAGGAGGAGGAGGAGGAGGGGGAGGGGGAGGGGAGAGGAGGAGGAGGAGGAGGAGGAGGAGGAGGAGGAGGAGGTGGAAATTCCTAGGTTTTTGTCTTCCCCCCCACTTCCCATATTTCCCCATATTTTCCCCGAGATCCACGATTGACTGTGTCTGTGTTTTTCCCCCTTGCCTGTCTCTTGCAGCTCGAGGCGGCCTCAGTGGGTCCCCATGCCGGGCCCCCTCTCGGGCAGGAGGCGCCCAGGTCTGGCTTTTCTGGCGTTGGTCAGACATCGTCGCACCCCGCAGATGCGGATAAGGGTGCGGGGGGGCGGTGGGGACGTCGCCAGCCTGCGAGAGGCGCCAAAGTCTCACAGATTACGCAACGAGCCCGCCGCAGGCGCCGATTGTTTCGTTCAACCAACGTGGGTAGGTCGCCGGTGGGGTCGCGAATGGGTCGCGGCTGGGTCGCGGGTGGGTCGCTGTGCCTGTGGCGTCGTGAAATAGTGCGAGGCCTTAAGGAACAACATAAACGCCGACGTAGGCCAGGGCAAACAAATTGAGGCAGCTGCCAATGCCGATGTTGAAGTGCAGGAAGCAGCGGAAGAAGAATGCGGCCCTAAAGGGCGTAGAGTAACCAGGCGAGCTGCCGTTGGGAGTGAGAGAACCACAATCAAAAGGTGAGATAAATAACATAATCGAGGAAAAGGGGGAAGCTGGACAAGAGGGAACGAGCTAAACGCATACGATCGACCACCGCTGCGGGCACCGTCCGGGCCCAGCCATGACCAGGTGGGCAAGGCCATGGCCTCAGAAGCCTGGCGCCTCTGGACCACATGCAATGCGAGACACGTGTGTAAAAAAGTTAGGAGGGAACGAGCTACACGTGCACAGTGCTACCGTCGGCCCGTAGCACGAGGATGCGCGATGAGGATGCAAGGACCTCGGACGCCCATGTCGAAGCTCCTCGAGCGGGGGCGAGGCCGACGAGAGCGGCCAGGGATGGACCGAGGAGGCAAGGGTGCAAGGGTATCCTTGGAAAGGCTACTCCAGATTTCGTAATAAAAGGGAGGGGGTCTGGACCCTCCAAGACTAGCCATTTCAGACCTCCCCCGTGGGAGAACCCTCCAAAACATCGTCCCCAGACCCCCCAGGCCCTCCAAGATAGCCTGGAAGAGACCCCCCCCCGAAATGAGACCCCCCTCCCTTTATGACGAAATCTGGAGTACCCATCCTTACTCTGCGGGCTGACTAGAAGGCGGTGGCACGAGCTGGCCCCCCACGGGTCTGGCTTCTCCTCCGCCGCCTCCCGAGGCCGGGCGGCACGCCCTCTTCGGGGAGCCGGGGGCCTCGCCCCTCTCGGCGGAGGCTGCGGCGGCAGGAGGAGCAGGGAGGCGGAGGGATGTCGCAGGCGAGCTTCCTCCCTCGATGACGATGACGATGCTGATGATGATGACGATGACGATGACGATGACGATGACGATGACGATGACGTCATCCTCATCGTCATCGTCATCGTCATCATGCCCGAGTTCCGCCCGAAGAGTTTGGCCGTTCCGAACGGGGGGGGGCTCTGGAACCACACCTCCAGGGTTCGCGTCGTGACGGCGCTGGCCTCGGGTTCTGACACCACGTGGTCCGCGTTCAGCCTGGAGCGATCGCGGCTGTCCGATGGCGCAGGTCGCTGGATGCCAGCCGATTCTGGGCCACCGGCGGCGTTCGGGCTTGGACGCCTGTGCCGTATGGGAGCTTTTTCTCAGCGTGTCGCGGTGGTCGTCTCTGCGACACGCTGTCCTCGCCATCTCTCGGACGTCCATTCCCTGCGTTTTTGTTCGGTCTCGTGCGTGTTTTTGTTCGCCAAATGGTCAAGGATGCTCCTCGATGGTCCTCGCCGAAGGAACAATGCACACGTCCGAGCGATGCCCAGTGTCTTGCAAGCCGGCGGCGTGTCGCTCCGCCTCGTGGGACGGGCGGCCGGCTCGGGACGGGAGGCTGGCTGGGGACGGGGGCGCGCTCTTGGCGCGTCGGGCCGAGGAGTGGTGGCCAGGACAGACGCGGCACGGCAAGCAGGGATGCCTGACCACACGGAGGGTTGCGGGTGGCATGTTCCGGCCAGCGGGACCCGAGGCAGTAGCCATCAGAGGGTGAGAAAGCGAGACCTCCGATCATCGAGGTGGTCGGAAGAGAGCTCGTCCTCGTCCTCCTCCTCCTGCTCCTCCTCCTCATCCTCCTCCTCCTCCTCATCATCATCATCCTCCTCCCTCGAGCAAAAGCGCATCTTCTGAATAAATTGTGCGGGAGCCGTTAGTGTTGGTCTCGGGTGCCCAGGGGCACAGTGCGAGCATCAAGACTTCCCCTGACAAAAGGCAGTGTGCGAACGCACAGGGGGGCACACTTTGATCGTGAAAGACACAGGCCAGCCGGTGAGGATGGATGGACAACATTCGGAAGTGATAGTTCAACAAACGAACATACAAGTAAACACACAAACAACATGCACTGAGAGGCTGAGAGAGGAGAGAGCAAAAGAGGAGAGGAATAGGGAGAGAGAGAGAGGAAGGGAGGGAAAGAGGGAAGAGGGAGGAAAGGGAGAGGATGGAGAGGGAAGAGGGAAAAGGAGGAAGGGCCATCTTTGCTGGCGTCCCTGTCGTCGCCGACGACGACGACAACGAGCGACGCCCAAGCGCTATGGGACGATCCTGCCAGCGCAGGTCACACTCGGCGATCATCCACCTGGGAGCGGAGAGGAGGCGGCAAGGGAAACTGGGTCCTCCTCATCTGACTTTGATGTGTTTCTTGCTCCCTCCTCCTCCTCCTCCACCTCCTCCTCCTCCTCCTCCTCCTCCTCCTCCTCCTCCTCCTACTACTACTACTACTACTACTACTACTACTACTACTACTACTACTACGACTACTACTACTACTACTACTACTACTACTACTACTACTACTATACTACTACTATAACTACTACTACTACTACTACTACTACTACTCATCCGACTGTTCCATCCCCGCGTCGTCCACCTCCACCTCGTACTCCTTCCTCCACCTCCTCCTCCTCCTCCTCCTCCTCCTCCTCCTCCTCCTCCTCCTCCTCCTCCACTCAAACATCCTGCTCATGCTCCAGCTCTTCATCCTACCTCATCCTCCTCGCCGGCCTCCTTGTCTTGCTCATCCTCTCTCCTCCCCCTCATCCTCCTCCTCCTCCTTCTCATCATCATCATCATCATCATCATCATCATCATCATCATCATCATCGTCGTCATCATCATCATCATCATCATCATCATCATCATCACCATCATCATCATCATCATCATCATCAGCATCATCAGCATCATAATAATCATCAGCATCATCATCGTCGTCATCACCACCCCCACCACCACCATCATCATCATCATCATCATCATCGTCAGCATCAGCATCATCACCATCATCACCATCATCAGCATCATCAGCATCATCTTCATCATCACCACCACCAACAACAACATCATGCTATATTCGAAGTAGCATTGTTGCATGTGTCAGGCTATTACTTACAGCTACAGCGTCAGAACTAAGATTGTGAATACTACGGTTACAAATGATTGCATTGCTACACTCGTCGTCACCACCCTCTTATCATTCCTCCTTCCATCCTTCCACCACCCCCTCCTTCTTCTCTTCCTCGTCCTCCTCCTCCTCCTCGTCCTCCTCCTCCTCCTCCTCCTCCTCCTCCTCCGTCGTCCGCCCTTCATCCTACTCTTCCTCCTGATCATCCTCTTCCGTCCCCCTCCTGACCCTCACGCTGGACGAATGATATTCTTACAGCTCTGCGAGATCACGGTTTGGCCCCGGTGGCCTAGCCTGCGCGGCAGACGCAAGTGCACCCGGCCGTCTGGAGGAGGCCCTCGAGAGGAGCGCGCCGTGAACCGAGGCACCGCGGCGCCCACGGCACCAGCCCCGCGCCTGCCTGCCTGCCTGCCTGCCTGCCTGCCTGCCTGCCTGTCTGTCTGTCTGTCTGTCTCTGTCTGTCTGTCTGTCTGTCTGTCTGTCTGTCTGTCTGTCTGTCTGTCTGTCTGTCTGTCTGTCTGTCTGTCTGTCTGTCTGTCTGTCTGCCTGTGCCTGTCTCTCTCTCTCTGTCCGTCCGTCCGCCCGCCCGTCTGCCCGCCCCTGTCCCTCACAGCATCCCTGCCTGCGCCTGTCCGTGCCCGTCTCTCCGCCTGTCCGTGCCCGCGCGTCCGCGCCTGCGCCGCCCCTCGGCGCGGCCGCGTCTGCGCGCCCGCCCGCGCCCCGCCTCTCCGCGTGCCCGCCCGCCGCTCTTTGCCGCCCCGCGCCCGGCAGCGGGACCCCTGCCCCTGCCTGCCCCTCGCACTCCGTGCCCCTCGCCCTCCCGCCCCCCGCGGCCCGCCACTCTCCAGGGACGCACGGAAACAGGTGGCACGCGTGCTCTGGCTCTTGCACCTATGAGGCGAGAAGGAGGAGGAGGAGGAGGAGGAGGAGGAGGAGGAGGAGCAGGTGACGGGATCGAGGAAACAAGGAGGAGGAGGGGCAGGTGGGGCCAGGGCGCCCCGGTGCTGAATCAGCGGTTGTCGATTGGGACCTGCTCGGATGAGTTCGTTTGGCAGCTGAGGCGCGATAGATTTTCGAGGCTGGGCCAAGTGGGGAGGCTGAGTCCAGGGACAGGGCCAGCAGGGCGAGGGGGGCAGGGGCAACGAACAGGGGGGTAGGCTGGGCCCAGTGCCAGGACCAGGGGGGCGAGAGCGGGTGGGGCCAGGTCAGGGAAGGAGGCTGGCTCCAGGGCCAGGACCAGGACCAGGGGGGCGACGACGAACGAAAATGCAGGGTCCGGCGCGAGGGGGGCTGGGGCCAGGGCCAAGGAAGGAGGCTGGGTCCAGGGCCAAGGCCAGGGGTATGACGACGAGCGAAAATGAAGGGTCCAGGGAGAGGGGGCCTGGGGCCAGGGCCAGGGGAGCCTGGGTCCAAGAACAGGACGAAGGTGGCGACGACGAGGGGGCTGGGTCGAGGACCAGGGTGAAGGCTGGGTCGAGGGCCAGGACCAGGGGACGACGACAAACGAAAATAAAGGGCTCGGGGCGAGGGGGGCTGGGGCCAGGGCCAGGTGAGGAGGCTGGGTCCACGGCCAGGTGCCGTGCAGAAATAAAGCGGTCGGGGCGGAGGGGGCGCGTTGGCTGGTGGGGCCGGCGCCGTGCCAAAATCAAGCTGTCGGGACGGAGGGGGTGCGCTGGCTGGTGGGACCGGCGCCGAGGGGGCGCTCTGGCTGGCGGGCTGGCGGGCTGGCTGCGCTGGCTGGCGGGGGAGGGATGCGGAGGGCCGAGGGGCTGCTTCGGCATGGCTGCTTTAGAAATGGATGCGGAAGAGGCGCGCTGGGAGGCGCGGTCCGACGGGCTGCATCGACTGGTGCCGTGCCGAAACAAGTGGCGCGCGCGCCATGGCTCTTGCACAGAAGGGAGGAGGAAGGATGAGGAGATGAGGAGGTGGACGGGGAAGGGATATAGGGCGCGAGAAATCGGAGAAGGTGGCGTGCGTCGCAACGCGGAAGAAAGCGTTCGTGGCGGAGGGGGCTGTGGGCGGGGCTCCTACTGGAACGCTGGGGACGCGGGGGGGCTGGGGGTGACTGAGCTGGGCTCCTACCAGGGCGCCGGGGACGCGGGCGGGGCGGGTGGGGGAGGTGGTGCGCGTCACGGGGCGGAGCCCCCACTGGGGCGCTGGGGACGCGGGGAGGGAGGTGGGGGAGGCGGTGTGCGTCGCGACGCGGAATAAAGCGTTCGTGGCGGAGGGGGCAGTGGGCGGGGCCCCCGCTGCGGCGCTGGGGACGCGGGGGGGCTCGGGGCAGAGAGCCACGGCGCGGGGCCCCCCTCTGGCGCTGGGGACGCGGGGGCGCGGAATAAAGCGTTCATGGCGGAAGGGGCAGTGGGCGGGGATCCCGCTGGGGCGCTGGGGGCGCGGGGGGGCTCGGGGCAGAGAGCCACGGCGCGGGGCCCCACTCTGGCGCTGGGGGCGCGGGGGGGGGCGGGGGGCGACGCGGACTAAAGTGGTCGTCGAAAATCCCCTCTGTAGGGGGACACGCCCGACTTCAACGTAGACCGACTCCGGGCCGCCGCCGGCGTCCACGGCGTGGAACGACCGCGGCGGGGTCGCCGTCGGGCCACGCGCCGCGGGCCTGCCGTGCGTCTGCGGCACCAGGCCGGGGCACCCGAGGGCGGGAGCGGGGCACCAGCCGCTGGCACAGCCGCCCACTCAAGCTCCAGATCTACCCTTAAGTCGGGCCTGTCCCCCTGGAGGGCTTTGGACGAAAAATAGAAGATACCCCAAAAATAATCCAATAATAATCCAAAATAGTCCAAAAATAGTCTGGGGACTATTTTTTGAATACTTTATGACCATTTGGGGGTATTTGTGGGGGTATTCTTTGTTTTTCGTCGAAAATCCCCCTGTAGGGGGACAGACCCGACCTAACTCAAGATCTACCCTTAGGCTGGGCCCGTCCCCCTACAGGCGGAGCCTGGACGAAAAACAAAAAGCAGTCCGAAGATACCCCAAGAATGCTCCAAAAGATCGTCGGAGAATCGCCCCCAGCCTACTCTTTTTCTCACTGTTTTCGAATACTCCCCCTGTAGAGGGACAGGCCCAACTGAAACCTGCCCCCAGGCCCCTGCCGGACCCCCGTCCTGGCCAGCGCTGCCGGGCCGAATCCAGCAGCTCTCCCGCGAGGGGGCTCGTGCCTCGGTGGCTCGCCCTCGCGTCGGCCGAGAGGGTTGGGCGTGGCTTAATGGGGGGGTCACAAATGGGGGGGTCAGAAAAGGTCCCCTTTCGTGCCCCTTTCGGGCCCCTCCAGAGCCCCAGGGGGCTCGTTTAGGTACCGTTTGGGTACCTTTTCGGACCACCCTCGCCACCCCCCCATTTATGACCCCCCCATTACGCGGCGCCCAAGAGGGAACGGTGGGGGGAGGGCCGGCTCAGGGGGGCCAGTCTTAAGTCGGGTGTGCCCCCCTACAGGCGGATTTGGGAGGGGGGGAAAAAAAATACTCAAAAAATACTCAAAAGTAGTCCAGAAAATCTTTAAAAAAAAACTCCCCCGACTATCTTGTGACTGTTACTGAATACTCCTCCTGTAGAGGGACGTGCCCGACTTGAGGCTGGTTCCCACCAAGCGCTCGATCGATCACCGAATCCACCACGTCCGTCCGAGGTATGACACCACTGCACCGGTGGGGAGGTCAGGGCATGCGAGGCCAAACCGCATGTGTGCCCCGGGGCGGAGCTTCGCTGGGCACAGGCCATAACGGCCTGGACGGCCAGCGCTCCACACTCAAGCGGAAACAGCTCGCTCGACACGGTCCCTCGGATTGGAGGCCTGGACATGGGCACCAACACCAACACCAGAGGCTGCCTCCACGCGAGGAAGATGATCCTGGATTTTGGTGTCGGTGGTACTCTTTCGGCCGCCTGGGAAGCCCGAATCTTACCACCATCACCGAGACCGGAATCTCCCCTCCTCGGCGGAGGCACACCGCCGAGATTGGTGCTGGCGTCAACCTCTGGGCCTGCGATCGGAGTCCGCCGTGAGGCTCCGGTGGGAGAGGGGGGGAGGCACTGCCCTGCAGCGCCGGCGCTGCCTCGCGCGCAGGTGGGCGACGGGCCCTCGACGGCAGAGCGGCACGACCGTCCGGGGCAGGTCGGGGCACCGGGGCCCCGAGCGGCGAGGCGCTGCATGCGAGGTCGGGGGTCGGCGCCTGCCCCCCCTTGAGCCAGTCCCTCCCCGTCGCCGCCCCTACGTACAGGCGGGGCGTTGACCGAACGAACCCTAAAGAAGGAAGGAGGCCCCGTTTTCCCATGAGTTCAACCTCGATTTCCTATGCAAAACCCTCGGGAAAAACCGAGGCAAACTTTGAAACAATCAAGGAACAACGAGCCCTTTCCCCAGCGAAAAGGGTTCCTCCTTCAGGGCCCCGACTGTAATCGCTGCTTTCCCCCACATGCCTTCCTGGTTACCTTCTTCGCCCCGAGCTGTCTGCAAGGGCCCCGCTGCCGTGCTCAACCTGGGGGTGATCTGAGGCAGAGCGGCGACAGTGACCTCGAAACCCCCAAAGATCTCACCGCACGGTCCGTCACCGCACGGTTTTGGGAGCTCGGAGGCCCCAATCGCCAGAGACATCCTCGGAGAACGACCCGAGTCCCAAGACGGTGCGGCCGCCCCGAACCCCCGCTGACTCACCAAACGGTGTGGCCGCTGCACCGTTTACCGGAGCAGGGCGAACCAAGACGACGGCAGCTCAAATCAGTCCGCGGACCCCTCCCGTGGCGACGAGGGGTCCCACCGAAGGCCCAACACCGCTGTTTCAACGGGCCCTCCTTGCAGCGCGGCGCGAATCTTCGGTGGCCTGCGCCCCCGGGACCGGGCGGGAGGAGGCGGGGGAACGGTCGCCCCTCCAGACGCCCCTTCGCAGCGCGCGCCGAGCCCGCCACAAGTCCTCGGTCGTGAGCACCTCCGAGTACTTCCAGTGGAGCTGGTCGACCTGGGATGCGCCACGACGAGACGGCGTCACCCTCCACTTACACCTCCTCCTCCTCTTCCTCCTCCTCCTCCTGCCTCCTCCTCCTCCTCCTCCTCCTCCTCCTCCTTCTCCTCCTCCTGCCCCCTCCTCCACCACCACCACCACCACTACGACTACTACGACGACTACTACTTCTACTATTCCTACTACTA